TTATGTCAAATATTTCAATGCTAATAAACTGACGCTTCGCGTTCACAAGCCGTCAAGTAAATCAAAAATGATACTATAAAAATGTACGTGCTCACCGTTGCGTACCTCCATCCGAATTGATCTCTGTTCATGGGAGGTGGGTACACTATTAGTGTGAGGATAGTAAATAGCGTTCACAAAAAATGCACCCCCATCAGTTTATTAGCACTGGCCAAAAAATTGCGGGTTTTGGCTAACGGAATGTGGATCAAAGCTAAAGGATGGTTGGATTTGGCTAAATCATATCGGGTTTCGGCTAAAGTATTGCGGGTCGAGGATAAAGGTGTTTGAGTTTTGGCTAATGCTTGATAGGAAAAGAAGCAGACCTCAAGAATTTTCAACATTTTTAATGGTCAAACAATAGACTATTACATCCGGGTTACCATAATACATATTAGAATTTCTTTTTTTTGGTAGGGCGGGGGTTGTTCCTGCATCACAAGTCTGTTATTGTTTGGAATTAACAGACGGGCTCTTTTAGCAGATGCGTCTACATTTAGTGAAAGAATAAACCGGTGAACTTTTGCAGTGGGATACAAGCACACACTCACACTGATCGAGTTGGCTAATTTGCATCCGCGGTATGATAAAACCGATGAAAAGGGAAACCATATTATCAGCGAACGTAAGGATATACAATAGGTAATAAACTTTTATAAGTTTCCTACAGCTGATTTGCGTCAGGCGTCAGTCCACGACGACAATCAAATTGCAACGACCTACACACACACGCACACACACACGTGCACACACACACACACGAGAGGGAGAGAGAGTACATCTTATTTGTCATTAATCCTGACGAAAAGGAATGGGACAGCAGCTTGTCAACAGGACAGCTTTGCGCATCATCCAGTCCATGGTGAATATTTCGAATAATTCATGTTTCACAGTGAGCCCCGTTACAGTCCCGATTTCATCCCTAATGAACCTTGCGGACAATAACTAACCACGCTAATATGCTGGAATATTATGACCTCGCTGGACTCGAGATCACATTTGTGGCCGGATTGATCGATTAATTGACAACTGCTATCAGCTAGTACACACGCACGCACGCACTCACGCCATGCGGACTGACTTTTTTGTATCATCGATCGACTCCAGCCTATCAGATGTTAGTATTGCGCTGTCCATGCCAATTGATTCGTTGACTGTTTGAATGCCTACTTGACCGCATATGAATGCCATTTGACGCCTAAGCAATTTGTCGGCCTATCTGCTCACGTGTCTACTTGCTGCCCGTTCCGGCTTGCTTACCGGCCCATGAACCGGCTACATGTGTGCCTATTACAATAACCGTACTGCTTAGTCCACTGAGTGCTTAGTTACATACTTAAACGGGACACAACAATCACCTTGGATGCAAAGTCAGAACACGGTAGCTCAACCGATTGGAAAACACTAACCGGCAGTGTGTTTCAGGACAAACTGGACGGAAAGGGATCCATATTCGTAGTGCAGTACTCCTATGTTCCGTCTAATCATTTGTTACTTTAATCTTTTATTGGCTTTCTTCTATTGAATATACAGCAAGAAAACATTTGCACGAAGGTCTGATTGTCCAATCAAAGGGTTGCCATACAACGCACAGAATATGGAGAAATTGAGAGGGTAGTGGTAGTATTGGGATTCGAACCCACGTCCTTCAGGGTGATGATTAGGTAACCACTACCACTTGACCACCAATATATACTTCAAATCAATCTGTCCAATGTGTAACGTACAATGATTATTTCTTGGTTTAATNGATATGGCTTTCTCATTGCTCTAAGTCGATCGAACTACTCCAGGGCCACTATAATTTTGTAACGGCTGCAGTACGCACAGATCACAGATTACGAATCACGTATTAGGAATCACGGACTCCACAGAAACACATTGGAAGAAATCAAGGGGATTAAATAACATGTACAGAAGAAGTTTATTGGTTACCCAGGCATCTACCAGTCGTGTGCTCGTATTCTTGACGTCGGACAGCTTCTGTCTGAGCCACAGCTTCTAACTGCTCAGCCCAATCGGCCTATGGTTCGTTACCCAGAAGCTGTAATGCGTAGGCACTTTGTTGGTCATTTGGAAAGCATGGCTCATTACAGTTGTCTGGAAACTGTAACGTGTCACCCCGATGTTTGTATCATTCAGTAAGTTAGAATCACCACAGTATGCTTCTCCAGGCTCGTTGGAAGTGGTTATATTAAATTTGCACGTGTAAGGCTGCAACATAGTAAGGCGTTTACATACACCACTACATTGAGTGGTCTATTTTTCTACACACTAGCAACTAGGCACCTTCTGAATCTCTTTGGGTTGTAGTGTTCAATCACGGGGGTTTATTCTCGATTATTTACTTTGCAATAAATGTTTTATGTCGCTTGGAGGGGAAAATAACCATTTTACCTTGTTGCCCTCTAGACGGTCAGGTAACTGTGAACAACTATTCCAGTATTGTGTGCCGTATTGCACATACCATGTCCAATAAGTGTCGCATTTACACACATTACAATGTGGGAATTCTTGACATTCGGGATAGCAAAATCTTGATGTGTTATGTCCATTGGCATACATTCTTGCATGTGCTAAACGTTTCTCAGGACGGCATGCCGTCAAAACGGATGATTTCACTCTTTTGTGGCGCCAATCCAAAAATGATGCGGCGGCTCTAAAGACTCATACAGAAACGACCAATTTTGTATCGGACGTAGTAGCGGGGTACCTGGAGCCTCCTTTCGACACTGAGAGAAGTCCTCGCACTTCATTAGACAGCTACCACCGGCCCAAGCTGGGCAGCCGCCAGTCAATAAGGTTCAGTTCCATCCATGTTCCGCTCGTCTCATTGGGTGCATGAAACTAAGAGATAATCCCGAAAGGCGGACCGACAATCAACGCATCAGCGAACAAAACACTGAACCGAAACCCAAAGGCCGTGCATGGCAAGTTTCTAGAAGTTCCCACACGGGTGCTTCGGTCATACTTCCGTGTAGAATCTATGTCCCACTGCCTTGTGGGTCAGATTTTACAGTCGACGGCTCCGGTGAGGGTTTCTAAAGAGAAACTCTTTCATCAGTGTGGCTACCACGAAGTACGTCCTGCCCCAAAGTTTTAGGCACCCATTTCAATAAAGGTCTTTCCTGAGGACCTCGGAATCCTCGTAACCGGCAGTCAGATACACTGTATGATATGGCTGAGTGTCGTAAACAATGGCGTTCGTGCATGCGTGCCTGCAGCTTAAGCGCGTACGTTCTGCCAACCTGCGCATCGTTAATTTGCTCGTTCCACACACGTTATCGATTGATATCTATTCAGATCGATGAACCTCACGCACTTGTCCATGCCAATACTGCCGGCCGACATGGGCTCGATCCTGATTGGCTGTTAGCAGTTCTATTGCTGCTTTGTTGAACGTACATTTGACACGATTGATTTTGAACGAGTCATAATAAATCAATCCTACCCTGCGCATGGTTGTTCTACTTTGCCAGCGAGCCACGGGCCCGAAACTACACATTTTGAAATCCAAACGTAACACCCCTTCACCCTCTACTGTTGGTGTTCGGTCGCACAACCTATTCACTCATCCGGTTCCCATAATCGGTGAGTCTAACCCACATTTATATCTACGCCAATCCACCCGACCCGACCCCACCCTCACTGATACTAGTACCACCGGGTTGTCTTAAACAATAGCAAGATCTCCTATCAACTGTGCCAACTTCTCCGCGGACAGTGAGTGCACTCAATCGCTTGGAAATAGAAATAGAAAAATAAAACAACCCGCCATGTCTGTGAGCATTCTTTTTTCCAAAAAAGTAAAATGGGAAAGATTTGATGAGAAAAACAATGAGTCAAACAAAAACAAAAACAAAAAAACAGGAAGAGAAAGTGAATGGAAACAACAACAGCGAGAATGAAAAATGTGAACAGAGAATACATGATTCCGGGGTGCGGGGCTGGGACGGGATATGGAGGGGGCGGACAGAATTCATGAGTGGGACTAATGCGGAACATGTTGCGCGTGTGTGTGTGTGTGTGTGTGTGTATGCACAGGAAGGGGAGAAGGGCTGGGGCGATTGAAGCGGATCAGTTGCTTACACCGGCAGTGCCTGGCTCATTTCGCTAGACTTCTCCCGCGCCTTCGAAACACACGCGGGCGCGCGCGAACACAGACACACTTAAAACCACACAGGAAAAGATGAGAATGCCGGTCTGGTGGAGCTCGAATCAATGACGTGACTGGGAATAGTACAAGCATGTGAGAATAAGTTTTCTTTTGATTTCAGATATCTTGATTGGCCGATTCCGGATAGGAATGAGGAATACGAATGGTCACGCGAGATTCTGATTTGACTTCGATATGAAAACACAACAACACACGAGCTGATCTGAATGAGGCGACCGGATGAATTTATATATTTCACACGATGAACAGACTTTGGTAAAAAGCAGAGCAAGGACACGGGAATTAGCTATGCGGATGGAAGCGGTATTTGTTCGTGTGTATGTGCTTGTATACGTATATATATACTTTTGTGAGTTCGAAGCAAGTTACAGTTCGGCTCAAAATATGCTTTGTGGAACGATAGAAAATGTGTGTGTGTGTGTGTGTGCTCGAGCGAGAGATCGAGCTAGGGGAACCTCATTTCTGAGACCGGCATGTTGGATGAAACAGTGCAAACGTTTGAGTGTGTTTGTGTGTGCACATGGATGGATTGATGCGCGCATGGGTGAGTATCTTGAGCGAGATCGTCGGACAAGTGTCTAGGTCATTGTTTTAATGTTTGGGTAGAAAGCGTTATTCCCGTTCGCGTGAGAGTAACAAGGTCAGTTTAACAAATGAAACCAGATATGGAAAATTGCACACGCAGAGTGAGGCAATATGCTTACATGAGGATGTGTATGCATATACGCATGACTTCTCACGAATATCACAAATTGAACGATGTGAAACCGAAAAGGTAAACAGATTACAAAGCAGTATTTCCAGATTCCACATCATTTGAATTTCGATCTTGTGGTTGATAACTGGAATCAATCAGTTCGCTTTTTAGGAAAGACCAATTGTCCTCCAAAGTAGGTTCTGAACGGGGCGAAGTTTCGGCGCCCGGTAATAGTACAGTGGTTGTGGAAACTGGATCGACCGAGGATGGGCTGACATGGACATCGTGGTCTTTTTCAACCGTGCTTGATTCAGGTCCGAAGTTGAGGACTTTCGTTGTAGTTATCACACCGTTGCCATCAGATTCAGAAAATCGTGAATGAACAAATGTCTCAAACTGCTCCTCAGAGACCGAATGCGGAATGCAATCGGTGATACCATTCGAATCGGCTGTCGGTGCAGTTTTCAGGACACAGGTTAAATCGCTATGGCCCGGTATATGCGCAGCTGAGAATTCACCGGAAAGCGAGTCACCAGGCTCCTTACCTTTCACTTGCAGGACAAGAGGACCAGGAGAACCTACGAACGAAGTGCGCAAGCTGAAAGCATCATTCACAGAATCGCTATAAACATCAGTTGAATCACCAGACACATGGCTATCCGTTCTCAATTTAAATGCACGTTCAGCAGCAGAGGAAAGCACAAATGAAGATTCATCACCCGCAGCAGAAGTAAAAACTCCATTCGCAGATGGAGAACAGGAAAATTCCGAACGAACAAAATCCAAATTAGAAACAGCGGCATGCTTATCACGGGAAGCGTCGAAACTCAAAGGCAGAGAATGGTTCTGGACAGAATCATCCTCAACAGCTGATCCGGCATCGCCAGCGATCGTCATTCCGGTCGCTTCATGCGACGATCGCTCGTGCTTCACATCCTCGTCCTCAC